ATATATATCGTCACAAACAGAACTGCCCCGTAAAACCGTAGGCAGAGAGAGAGAAGAGGACAACAAACGAGGGGCTGTGACAAACTGCTTCGTCGGAGTTTCACCGACTCATCAGGAGGCTGAACCCTCAAGAGTCTGCAGAATCCCCTAACTGATTACACTGTAAGTGATAATCCACCCTTAACTCCAGCTGTGGTTGAGCATCAGCGACTGCCCGACAACTGATACCCTGAGGTGAGGACCACCAACCACTGCCCTCAAGGTACCTGTGACAAAAATCAAAGCAGAGTATCACTCACCCACACCAGATGGAATTTCCTGACATTTTTCCTGGAAAGAACACGACCTAATCTACAAATGCTCAAATTTTCAGAATTTTCTGTGAATTCTTCTGGCCGCAAAAATTACCAAAGTTGCCATTTTGACTAGGCCTGCCGTTTCGGTCTCCGGTCTCCGGTCGTTTCCCTCAAAACCCGCCCAAACTCACAGGGAGCGCTATTTCGGGATGGTGGAGGGAGTCGAGGTTTAAAAGAGGATCGACTGTCAGCTTGCCATTCTCACATATTGCTCTCAGGTTCCATCTCTCCACATTTCTTTAATTTCATAAAAATAGCATTCAAGTTCATGGGTGTCCTTCCCGACATCCATCAAAATTGCAAACGACGCAGAGAAGATTAGCATGACCACCGAAGCAATGGAGTTTCGCAGGACCAACTGGCCTAGCTCGGTTGGTACACCAATGCACTCTTGAAGTACAGATCCAAGTTCGAATCCGGATGCAATCAAACCATTCTGAATTGCCTGGGAACCGTCTCTTCAATGACGATATCCCAAGGCCGTCACAATTTTGAAATTCCCAAAAAAAAAGAAGCTGCCGGGTACCAGTTGCTCCGATGTATATTGGCGGGGAGCTACACCGGCCGGAAACCGGGTCCAGCATCCCTGACAAACCAGAGATACTAGGGCCATTGCCCGGCATTGGCTCTGGCCCATTTCTGTCCGGGCCTTGCTCACCATCCCACTCCCGCCCACTCTTACTTCACACTCCCTTGGGATGCAACCTCCCCCACTCTCCCGCTCTTAATTAACACCCCCTGTCGATGTCACCTCCCGCTGGCAAATCCCCTTAACCATGACATGACTTGCCTTCTCCCACTCTCAGCTAACACCCCCTGGCCTTGTACCTCATCCTAACCACTTCACCTGACCTTGGATGCCCTCTTACCGCCCCCACTTAGCAGCCGGATTCTGGAGCCCTTGCCTAAAATGCCCTACTCCGGGCCCCCTACCGGACGTCCAGGCAACCCTGCTGTTGCAGCAGGGTCTCCTGAGGACTGGACCAGGCACAACAGACAAGTGCCTCGTCCAGTCCTCAGGACCAGATACAGACAAATCCGAACCTGGCTCTTACTACAGCCGAAACTAAAAACCACTGGCCTGGACAGGCATCTGTCTGTTTGGACAAAAAAAGGAGTCTGCAACGACACATCGGAGACTGACAAGAATAGAACAGAGAAAACTCAGCCGCAAAATCAATCAGCAAAAGTAAAAATAAAGATTTAAAGAAACGGTGAACAAAAGAAAAGGAAATAGGACAAAAACATGAGCCTGGCCCCTTTAAAAAAAAAGTGGCCGTGGCCCTCCAAGTTGCCCAGACCAGAGGCTGCCCGGCCTGGGGGCCGAAGATAGGGCCTGAAAAGGCCGGTGTAGGGACCCCATAGGGTGCTATCAGTACCCTGGCTGACTAACTGCTTGCTCAATCGGCTTGTGCTGAAGGTACCCAGCTCACCCGAGCACTGCACTAGGTACTACAGGCCGCGTGCGAAGCGTCTGGCTATGGAGGACGACAAGATGCACACCATCACTGACGCTGCTAGCGGGACAGGAAAGGACGGTGGCTGGAAGAGGACAGCAGGGCAGATCAAAGCTTTTGTTCGACCCGTTTGGAGCGGGAGAGCTTCATATATTAACTGGTGCTTAGGCCAGAAGGGCTGTGATAGGCCGCAGCGACATCAAATCAACTTGTAATCGGCCAACAGGGCAAGCGGTAGAGGGAAGTACAGCAGAGTGGCATGCACATATCTTGTGGAGGGTTCAATGAATGATCTGCTCAGCTTAACTGCAAATTCCCAATTTGACCCGCAATGGTGCTTACCAGCTGATGTATTTCATACGCTGACAACAACGCTTGCCGGAGTTCGAGGTGGAGGGCGGTCGGCCAACAGGGCAAGTTCCACTCTGTGTTGTGCACCCCCTTCTCTGCTAAGATCTTGTTTTTCTGCCGGGTTTTAATTTTGTGTGCGTTGAACCGAGGTAGAAATCAGAACGCAGGGAGGGAGTAAGTCTGATGTCGTAGCTCGCCGGCTCAAGGCACACGGTGACTACAGCAAATCCTTGGCCGTACAGGTTGGGAAATTTCAGCCCGGGGCCCGAGCCAGGGTAGGGGATTGACCCCCGCACCCCCGGCCCGGGGATCCCTGACCCCCGCCCCTT